TCCTCCTGCCTCAGCCTCCTGAGCTGCTGGGATTATAGGTATGTGCCATCGTGCCCAGCTTACACTGACATTTTAAAAAATTAAATTAGTCATACATGACAATAGGATGCATTTTGACACATCATACATAAATGGAGTACAACTTCTCATTCTGACATTTTTACACTGATGTTTTTAAGTGCTCTTTTAAGCAGGTTTCAAGATGCATTAAGTCTCTTGCTCTGTTTATAGTGAACCTTGATGCTTTGGAGCCAGAGATCAAAGGGAAGATTGTCACTTCTGTAGCATGCACTCAGAGAGAGCACAAGGCAAGTTCTTATGTGAGTCCATCCTATATTTGCAGGTGCCCTTGGGCAGTTCTGGGATAGGGCTGCATGGCCTCCTGCTTGTGTGCTGCTTGAGATGCTCTGGGTTGAGTGTCCATTTTTAAAGAAAAGTTCCCAGATTATCTTCAGGACAAGGAAGACAGAACAGAGGGTCTAGACTGATCCTCTGAAGGCTGCATCTATCGGTTTGTGAATGAGGAAGGTAGAAACAATTACATATGTCTGTGAAGCTAAAGATCTCAATTCTCAGAGACTGGCCTGAATTATAAAGAACTACCATTTTATTCTGAGGGGGTGTAATTTCTTCTCTCTCTCTTTTCTAAAATGTCTTTTAATGAAATAATGGTGATAGTAGATGGTAATGATAGTAGTTTTAATATTTTTAAATAGCAACCTGAAAAATACATTTTATATGCCTGTTTAAATTTTTTTTATCAGATTCATTTTGGAAGAGCTTCCTGATGAATAAACAAAGCCTTTTTTCAGCTCCCTTGAAGGACAGCTGTTACTCAAAAGCTAATGAAATGCCCCAAACCTTCTAATTGGAGACGTTTTACAGTCCTCTGGAGTAACCTCAAGTTGTGGTAAGGGGAATATGAGGGATCGAGGATGGAGAGTTTAGCTAAGGTTGAACTGGAGGATTTGCAAAAGGATGGACTCAACAATTGTGCTGGCCATTTCCAGGGAGAAGCGGGAGGCTCCATAGGTAAGAATGAGTTTCCCAGCAGTGGAAGATACAATTGTAAGTGGCTGATTCGGAGGAGGGGAAAGAAAAGCAGGGGAAGTTGTCAGTTCTACTTGGCTATTCTGAATATCTCTGAACCTTAAAAGCTACTTCAGAAAAATACACAAACCAGTTCTGTACAACCAGTGGCAAATCTCATTAGGAAAGCCCCCTTAAATAGTCCACGTAAAAGCATTCCATCAAAACCATCTAGTTTATTCTTATTTTTGAACCTCATTAGAATCAAGGGAGCAGCTTTAAATTAACCCAATAGTACAAATTTTGTTGTTCTTCATTCACTTCCTTTAAACACTTGTTTAGCAGCAATGAGGTCTGAAGGTGCTAGGGGAATGGCACCACGTAAGACAGAGAGCCTGCTGTCGTGGAACTTTTATTCTAGGGGGAACAACACAGATGATAAACACAGAGATTAAAAAATAAAGGAAACATTTCCAGATAGTGGTAAGGATAAGAAAGAAAACAAAACAATGTGAGATGGGAAGGAAACAACCACAGAAAGCCTAGGGGTTAGTTAGGTGTAGGGGATAGATAGTGCAAAGCCGCCCCCCCCCAGGCCAAAATGAGCAGGCTGGAACACTGAGCATTCAAATAGATGTAGGTGGGGCGGATAAGGTAGGCCCTCTGTGCCAGAGTTAGGGGTCTGGTTTAAATTCTAAATGTAGCAGGGAACCAAAAGAGGGGCTCAAAATTAAGCCCTAAAGAAGTCTAAAAGTTTAAATTGAAGAAAACTCAGCAAAGATATGTGGGAGGGTGTGATCAACAAGAAAGAATGGCCTCGAGATGAACAAGAGAAGAAAGCGTTTCCAGAAGACTCACGTCTGAATTCAACGATGCAAAGTGCAGTTGACAGAGGTTGTGGAGAGACTGGCAATATGAAATCCTCTGGTCACTTGGGAAAGAGTAGTTTTGGTGTGAGGATGCAAGCCAGACTGGAGTGACTGGAGAGGGAGGGGCAGGGACGAAATGGAGACTGAGCCCAGACAATGCTTTGACGTGGAGCAGGGAAATGGGCTGTTGGTTGAAGAAGGTTATGGGGTCCAAATAAGTTTCCCTCACTTTTCTTTTAAAGGTCCAAGATAAGAGAGCTCATGAGTGTATACGCTGAGGCATGTGATCCTGTGCTTCATACAAGGTCACACGAAGGCTCGGAGGACAAGGAACTGCAGTGCCAGCAGGGAGGAAGTCCTGTGAAATCTGGATCTCCTGCTGAGCCACTAGGGGACATTGGTCTGTGGACAGAGGTAAGCCTGAGAATGGTAGGAAACACGTGTGGTTTGGGCTGATGCTTCTTGGTGTCCTGGGATTTTAAAAAGCTTTAACTTTCTAAAAAGCAGCGTGTTCTGCCTATTTGGTAAGTGTACAACCTGGTCTTGCATATTGGTTGGTTTTTGTTTCCTTTTTATCTTTACTTTGTCCGTCTGTCTTACTTTTCAAACAAACCCCTCAGACTATGTGTGGGTCTTTCAGTGAATTGCTCCTGGTATCTGAAATGCCCTTGACAACCTCTTATCCATTCATCCTTTAAGGACAGGCAGACCATCCTTTCTTTTGGCAAGGCATCTTGAACATACGCAGTTGCCCCTGTTTCTTATTTTAGTGCAAACCTCATACATTGTAGTGAATTGCTTCCTTTCTCACTGTGAACCTCTTGAGGGAAGAGATCCTCTTACTACCAACAGCTAAAATGGGCATTGGCATGGCTGTAGGATGGCCAGTACTTCTCCAAACATGGTTCCAGAAGTGCTGGCTTCAGTATCGCCATGGATGCTGAGGGGCGGGGGGATCCAAGTTTCTGCCTTCTCCATAAGCTGTATAGGGAATTCTTCTCTCCAATGAAGGCTGATAATTCTTATAGTAGGCTCTTGACAAATGTTTGCTGATTTACTGATATGGACATTTGTGCCTCAGAAATAAGATTTAGGTCAATGACTCATTCTTTATGGTCAGTAGCTTTCCGAGAGGAACTCACTCTCCAGATTACTTTGCTCAGGCACAGCCTAAATATAGCCTCAATGCTAATGACTGAAAACACCACAAAAGTCACTGCTGAACACTCTGCAAATCTTCTCTCCACTTTCCACTCATCTGCTCCCTGATACCCGAGTATCAGGGGAACATTCCAATTTTGACACGACTGCATATGTGTGAGATGGTGACAGTGATGAAAACGGTGGCGTGAGGGGGTCCCTGAAGTGAAGAAGCACCTTGGTGATGCACAGTAAGGGTTCTGATCTGCATAGGAGTCAGGATGTACAGAAGTTTGTCTGATCATTAAGAATTTAAGAAGAGTTCTCAGAGGACCAAGGGAGGTTTTGAGGAAAAGCTACTTTGTAAACACTTTGAGTTGCTGGAGGGTTTTGATTTTTATCTGAAAGGGATTCAGTGATGAGTGGCATTGATAGGATGCCAATCAGAGATGCTGGCATGGGAAATCTATTGGGTTATTATTCAAAAGCAAGAGAAGATAGGGATACAGACCAAGTATATTATCAACATCTCCTCAGAGCCATTAGCTTATCAATAAAACATCTGATCCATTCTCCTTAATAACAATTATGTAGGGATTTCCAGTCAGCCACAGCTCCAAAACTTCAGTCCTAAATACAAAGTACTGACTCATTCTATCTCAAACAACTTCAGCATATGCCAGATCCAATATGTAGACCATATGTGAAATGAACAAGGAGTTCTGGCATAGACACCCGGTAGAGGCAAGCTGACTTAGTGTGAGGCTACAGCAGAGCTATGAAACATAAAATGCCACCCAGCCACAGCCCCAGAAAAATCTAATCCTTTATGGTCCAGTTATATGTTGACCTGTCTTCACAAGGATTGATTACAAAATAAATAGTTCCCAAATCACAATAATGAAGTGCTTTCTAAAGACCTATTTCTAGTTGAGTTGAAACTGAGTACCTGATCCCCATTAATTGTCACAAAGAAAGACTGGCACAATGGCTGAGCTCTCAGAAGCCTCAGGATCCAGATCTGCAAAGCTCCAAATGTTACCTATGAAATCCCACTGATCCTCTCATAAATATCAACTCATATCCCTTGAAATGAAGATTCCACTTTTAAAAAGTGCTCATGAGAATGTCCAGATAGGACATATGCTTTTACATAGATAAATCAGTGTCCCAAATAATCAAAAGTAACTGGGATTGCTTATTGTTTATGAAGCTTGAGCCTCAGTTCTATATTCTTTGTAGGTGAAATCCATTTGAAATCATTTATTGTTCACTTCTCCTTTCTTTCAGGCGATCAAGATTTGTGCCAATATGCATTTCTTATATACATTAATGTGTCCCAAGAGGGGATCCGGTCATGTGCATTTACTGGCACATCATGTATACTATGGACACCCATCTGTGATGATGATTTTGCCAGTTACTATTTCCAAACTGAGGGAGATTTTCTGCTGTGCTCCTGGGATTCTAGACTGGCTCAGGGTGTCCTCTAAGCCTGTATCCTTGCTACATGTTTAATTATTCCAGCGGAATTGCAGAGTATTTTTAAACCCTCCAGTTGTACCCTAAGTCTGAGGACTCTCAGAATCATTCTACCTGCAAGAATCTTCAAAGCGGCACAGCCCCAGCACCAGGAACTTCCCTTTTCTCTCTTGCCTGGTCCACAGCAGTTTTGTCCCCACTACAGTCTATTATCTAGATTCCAAAAGCTGCAGGGAAGGTGTGAATGTTCCCAACATTCGGGTATCTACAAAGTAGGAATGGCCAAGCTAAATTAGCAAGATTAATGGCAGAGGGCAACTTCATCTTTTCACAGGATCTACTGCCATCCTTAGAAACATCTCAATTATAATGTTTTCTTTTTTAAAAATAGGGTTATTCTCTCTTTGATTACAAAAGGTAGAAAAATATAGGTGTTTGTGGATTTGAATAACAAATAGTATCTTTTTGTCAAACTAACCTGATGTAGAGTAAAATAAAATGTCAAGAAAGGTAGAGAGAGAATGGAGAGGGGGAAACTCCTATTTCCTAAGTATAATTTAATCGAATGCTTAAGTCTCCCGTCTCCCTTCTACCTCCACATTCTCATGTACTGATTTAAGATGAATGAACTCGCTGGTTCTCTTCTGCTCAACCCTAAACATCAAACGGTAATATAGACATCTAGTTTAAGGGATCAACAGCGAGGGGGAATGTCCTGGAAAATTTAGAGTCTATTGTGCATACTTTCTAACGAAGACCTTGACTTACTAATATTTTTGTTTCTAGTACACTTGAATTAACTAATTTCAATTTTTTCCTAGTACTAAAGACATTACTGAAGAATGTGTGTTATAAATGTAACCTATCTACTCCTGTTATTGTATAGTATATAAACACTCTTTTTAAATTTTGAGGGAAGTGATTTTGTGTGTGTGACAGATCCTAGTAACTATGTAGAAGATTTTAACAGGAAGAAAATAAATAGTCTTGTTCTCACTTTTTTTTTTTAAAACCTTCCAGTGGTCAGAATTATTCACACTTAAACAAAGAGAATTTTTTTCTGCATATCATTTTGTGCTCTGTTAATATCCTAAAAAAGCATTATAGGTAAAATCACATTTTTGTCACACTGAGTGAAAGAGAAAAAACTGTCAGAGTTGGACACATTTTCCAATAGGAGAAAAATCCAGTTACCAACTACACTTGGGTTCATTTGGGGTTCCTGAGACTGACAGCACATCAGCATGTCTTCTGAGACTTGCACATGGCATGTTATTATAGCTGTATATCATCAGAGAGAAAAAAAATAATTGGTTTTCCTTGGAGTATCTCTAAGTTGATGTCATATTCAATAACCCTGTAGTTGAAAAATCTATATATGATGGATGAAGTTTGGACTATCTTTTGAATTTAATTCCTCCTGTGCCAGCTTCTGCAGGCCTTGGTATACCTGTCATCTTGAGGTAAGAGCATATGCAGTATTTAACTGCATCCAAGCACTACTTCTGCCAGATAACGAACTCCAGGAGAACAATTTTTCTCACATGTACAACAGTCTCATTCTTCACTGTTAATGGTGCCATGGAGGAGCCATTGAACTTGGAGAACCTGGGGTAGGTGCCAAGATGCAGCTTGAATAGAGGCTGTGAATCACAGGGTGAGACAATGCTTCCTTTCATCTGGGTTTGAGGGCTTCAGGGGCATACAGGCTACTAAGGCACATTATAACACATTTCCACCAAGACCTCCTCCCTGCAAGAGTCCGTACTGCTTCTGTATCTGTGGATGATGGCTCTCAAAAGTTACCATCTAGAGCTTTGTCTGGTCCAGACAAAGAAAAAGCCAGCCTAGAAGTAGTTTGTGGGGCAACTGTGTGTTTTAGGTGAACAGCAAATTTCTTCATCTTCCTTGGTGGCCAGTGTCTTTTGTTTATCTTGTGTAAATGGATCCACACTTAGACAAGGAATTCTGGATTAGAAGGCCCTGGATTAGTTTAGCACCAAGAATCTGGATGTACCTGTTTCATGTGTTTTACGGGCATGGCTCTGGGGCTCCCCTCAGGACATGGCCACTGCTGAGGGGTGCGAGGTTAATCTTCTGGGTTCAAAGCCTAGACATCTGACTTGGTTTGGAACTTTTGGATTAGAACCAACCTGGCCTCCGGGTGGAAGTACAAAGTCCAAATTCACATTTGTGACATGTGAGGTGTAAATTAATCTGTTTACTTGAACTTGGTTTCATGTCTGACAACCAACTAATACATATGGTTACAGAAGAGCAAAACCTCCATTAGTTTGTATGCCACTAATGTGAAATGTATGTAATATATTCTTGATGAGATTAATCTCACCTCTGACCAGAAGGCAAAGTTGTTTAAATTGCTAACAAGCTGGAGTTGAATTAATAAAATATTATTTAAGCTAATTACCCAAGACTTAAGAGAATAGATGAAGAAAAAGAATTTCCTTACCTATTAGAAGAGCTTCTTTCTCTGATTTTAAGCCTTGGCTTCTTTTCTCAATATTGTTCTCTCGATCTTGGTTGACTAATGCAACTGTCAACACATTGATTTCCTATAAAGTTAAAAAACAAAAGCCATATATATGTTTATGTAGATTCTATAAATTTCAATAAAAATCACCAGATATCTTAAGCTCTATAAAAGAGGTCATCACTTCCATTTATAAGAGAATATCAAATCTTATAAATAATTGATTTGTCCAATAGTAGAAAAGTAATTATAAAAACCTAGGCTCCTAACTTCTTCAAGCAAACCAAGAAACTCTGTGCAAGTAGAAAATTTGGCACAAATTATCTTAGATTTTTGTCCATGTTTTTATTAAATTCTATTCACTAAAGCTGTATTTGTAGCTAATTTAACAGGTTTTATTTAAAAATGAAAAATTTTCTAGGAAAGCCTATAGCACACTGATTTATAATGCTATACTAGTATCTTGAGTGAGCATGTAGGGAAACAGGACCTATTGGAGAGCAAGAAATTGTTGGTAGGAATATTTAAATTGAGTAAGTATGAATCCTGATACACAACTGGAAAAGGTAGATAAAGCAAAAGCTGGGAAATTCTTTGGGAGCTAAAATTGAAAAACTGTACAATAAACCAATAACACATGAAATATTGATGCTGGACTAGTTTTAGTTCTTTATAACTTGAAGACAGAGATAAAGATCTAACTCATATATTCCCAGTCTTGATATTAAGACCCAAAATAGAGTTATTTAATAGGAATTTAATGATCTGCATGTGTGGGATAATAGAATCATTAGGGAAGTTGAGTCTTATAGAGGGAAGATGTTCACTAAAAGATTGTTTTACACAGATCCAAGATAACTAAATATATGTTTCCTATACAAAGTTATGCTACAGAGTAGTACCAGGGAAATAAAGGAAACACTATACTTCCAGGAAAGTAACTGAGGGAGGACTCTGGAAATCAGCAAGGAAATAATGGGAACCTTAAAACCTGGAGATCTGGAAAAGCAATCAAGAGAAAAGAACAAGACAATCTGCAACTTCAACCCCAAGTCATGTCTGGGGAGTAGTGTGTAGGGGATGCAATGACTCCACTTGCCAGGAGAAGGTAAGTGATAAAGTACCAGCAAAACCCATAAGAGCAGCATATGGGAGGTCCTAATTGCAAGAGAAGTCCACAGTCCTTATAGGCTTAAATACAGCTTGGGAACTGGCTGGTCCAAGAACAACTTCTCTGCTCAAAACAATAAACTCACATTGGGCCTTGCCCAACCCCCAGAGCACAAGCTGTTACAACAGATGCCACTTCTAGATGCCTTAGGGGATGGCAGCTGGCTCCCTGAGCTGATGGCAGCCTTGGGCCTGTGTGTGCCTCACAGAGCAGAGAGACAGCTTCCTCAGCATCTTGCACCTCCAGGACCAGCAGCTGCCAGAGCCAGAAGCTCAAGTTCCAGTGGCACTCGTTCCATAGAGATGAGGGAAGGTCTCCTCAAAAGTCTGCAGCCTTCAGATTGCAGCTGCTGGTATGAAAGTCCCCATATCACCTGTGTCTGTGGGGATCTGGGGGAAGGTTCTAGCTACAGACCCAGAATCATGGCCCAAACCCAAGTACCACCCATGCTTGCTCTGAACCTGGGAAAGGTTAAATTCATATTCTTCAGCTCCAGAAATGTAACTACTAGTGCCCTAAATCTTGTGCTACCTGCAGGGATTAGGAAAGGTCTTATCTTCAGCCCATAGCCTTGGAACTGCAATTGCTAGTACAAAATTTCTCAGCATTGATCATGCTCATCTCTGGAAAATAAGGACATTTCCACCATGTCCTGAAGTTCCAGGACCATCATTACCAATGCCACAAGTCTTGCCCATTAACACTTGACCTGCATGAGCTAGGGACATTCCTATCCACATCCTACATCTCCAGACCATAGGTACCCAAATGCCAAGCCCTGACACTCCTTGTGTTTGGACTAGAGATGTCCCCTCCACCTTCTTCACTTCTAGTTTCATGGGTAACCATACCACAAGCCCAAATGTCAGCTGTGTATTCTCTAGGAGACCTAGAGGAGGTCTCATCCACAGCCTGGAGTCCTGGAACCATACCTGCTGTGGCCCTGGCATCACCTGTGTTTGTCTCTTGACAAACTGCAGAAGGTCTCATCTGGGTCCTGCAGTTCTAAAAAGTGGTTACCAGCACTTCGAGGCCCAGAGGTACCCATAATAAATTCATAAAACCTAAGGAAGGTTCCCTTTACGTCCTAACCTTCAGTCCATTGTTCCCAGTGCCAGCAGCCCCATCATCACCTGTTTTCATTCAGGGGGATTTGGGGAAGGTTCTATTCCATCTGGGCTCCAGAATTAAAGCTGCTGGTGCCACAGGCCCTGGATCTCACATTCATCCTGAGGAATCTGCCCTTCACATCCTATGGTTCAGGGAGATGGCTGCTGACATCCTTGGTGTCACCTATGCTTGCCTGTGGGACCTGGGGATGGTCCTTCGACATTCCACACCACCAACTCTGCAACAGCTACCACTGCCGTTGATGCCCCAGTGCCATCACTGCTTGACTCTATGGGCTCTGAGGATTTACATCTTTAAAAGCCTATGTCTAGTGCAAAGTTGTACAACTATTTTCGTGCTCTGCTGCAGTCTAGACAACTGAGGCATCGATGTTGTCGACATTAATCGCAATCAAAGAAACTGTACTTTTGAACTCATGTATAATCAAAGCAAAAGTAGCTACATGGTTGACATCATATATCCCATCTAAATGAAAAAACATTCTCCTACAAAAGCTATTACATAAAATTAGAAGAGGTGAATAGTTCACTAGATGTGCAATGTCAACATTAGGGACACAAAACAGATGAACAAAAAAGATACCTCCAAAGGAATGAATTAGTTCCCCAGAAATCCCACTTTTGAGGAAAAATTATAAATTTCTGAAAAAATTCAAAATAATGACCCTAAAGACACTGAGTGAGATGCAAGAGAATATAGACAGACAATGCATAGGAATGAGAAAAAAATTTTCAGGATATGAATAAGAAACTCACCAAAGAGAGACCACAAAAAGTACAATAAGAAATCTTGAAGCTAAAAATATCAATCCATAAAATAAAAAATACAATTGAGTCTATACTAGAAGAGAATAAGCAGAAGAGTGAATTTTTGAACTTAAGTTCAGGTCTTTTTAAACTCATTTAGACAAAAAAAAAGGATGAAGTAAGCATGTGAGACTTTATGGGACCCTATTAAACAATTTTTCACATCATGGGAATTTCAGGAGAAGTGAAAACCTATCTCACAAAATAATGATTGAAAATTTCACAAACATTCAAAGAGGTACGGACATCCGATATAAGTTCGGAGGATTCCCAGATAGATTCAACCCCAAACGACTTTCACCAAAGCACATTTTAGTCAAAAGTATAGGATAAAGTGAAAGTCCTAAAAAGAGCAAGATAAAAGCATCACGTCAGAGGCTGGGGTTGTGACTCAGTGATGGAGTGCTTGCCTTGCATGTACAAAGCACTGGGTTCAATTCCCAGATCCACATTAAAAAAACTAAACAAAATAAGAAGGTAATTTGTCCATCTATAACAAAAAATATTTTTTAAAAAGCATCATATCTTTTGGGAATGCCTGTTAGACTTACAGAAGAAACCCTAAAGCCAGAAGAGAATTGAATGATATAGTCCAAGTCCTAAAAGAGAAAACCATGCCAACTAAGAATACTATATATACTCAGTAAACTATCTTTCAGAAATGATCAAGTGGGATTTATTACACTGATGCAAGAATGGTCCAGCATATGCAAATTGATAAATGGAAAGTAACATATCAAAGAAATGAATTCAACAAAACCATATGAACATCTTAACAGAGTAGAAAAAGCATTTGATAAAATTCAACATCTCTTAATAATAAAAACTCTCAAGAAATTAGATTCAGAAGGAACATACTGCAAAAAGTACAGGCTATATATGAATAACCCACAGCTAGTATCATCCTGAATGGGGAAAAGTTGAAAACATCTTTCCTTAAAAGATCTGGAACAGTCCTATTCTCTACTATCCCTGACAGCAGAATACATCAGACACTAGAAAAGCAATATGTCAATCAATGGAAGGGTAACTGATGTGATACAGCAATCTGTATACGGGGTAAAGTTGGGAGTTCATAACCCACTTGAATCAAACTGTGAAAGGTGATGTATTAAGAACTGTGTAATGTTTTGAACGACCAA